AAAAAAGAAAGAAGGAAAGGAAGAAAAGGGAGGGAGGGAAAGAAAGAGAAGGTAGGCGGGAGGCGAGGGAGGAAAGAAGAAGGAAGGAAAATAGGAGTGAGGGAAGGAAAGAAAGAATGGAAGAAGGGAGGGAGGGAGAAAGGCAGAGAAGAAAAAGCAAGGAAGGAAAGGAGGGAGGGAGAGAAGGACTGAAAGGAGAAGGAAAGGAAGGAAGGAAAGCAGGGAAGCCAAGAGTGGCTGTGGGGGCAACCCTTAAGCCGAACACCATTTCGAACTGAAGGAGCATCTGGGCCAGGGAACTGGCGGCAGGCAGAGGGCGGCAGAACCACGCTGGGCAAAGGGCCTCACCTGTCGGAGTGTGTGATGCCTCATGATGCTCTCCTGCTTGCTGACGCTGGCCACGCTGGCCGGAGCCGTGGTGGGCGAGAGGGTGGCCTGCTGCTGCAGCCGCTGCTCGATCTCCTGGGGAAGACGGGAGGGAGACCGTCGCAGTCCTGGCAGCGACAGCCCCACGTCGGGCATCCCCGTTCCCTCCCCGGGAGCGCCTCCCCCCCCCCACCCACACCGGGAGTCCCTCGACCTGCCTGTTCCTGCTGCAAGGCTTTGACGAAGGCATTCTTCAGCCGGTTGGTGTGCTCGGCCTTGAGCGCCTTCTTCTGGTTGGAGGTCATGCACTGCTCGCACAGGATTTTGCCGTTCTTCTCCTGCTTCCAGTGTGGGGTGAAATCCGTGCGGCACTGCGCGCAGATGAAGGGCTCCACTCGGAGGAGGGAGGAGCAGCCTTTGCCTGAGGGGAGGGGTTGGGGGGGGTGAGTGGGAAGGAGGGGGAGGAAGAGGATTAGCCCCGATTATCCAAGGAAAGCAATTGAGCGGCTGAGGCGCTGAGCTTGTCGATCAGAGAGGTGGGCAGTTCAGAGGTTCGAATCCCTAGCGTCGCGTGACGGAGGAAGCTCCCGTCACTTGTCCCAGCTTCTGCCAACCGAGCAGTTCGAAAAGTACGTAAAAAATGCAAGTAGAAAAAATAGGGACCCCTTTGGTGGGAAGGGAACGGCGTTCCGTGCGCCTTCAAAGGCGTTTAGTCCTGCCGGCCACATGACCACGGAGACAACTTCGGACAGTGTCGTTTCTTTGGCTTTGTAACGGAGGTGAGCACCGCCCCCTAGAGCCAGGAACGAGTAGCACGCATGTGCAAGGGGGAACCTTGATCTTTTACCTTATTATTGTTGTCCCGCCTTTATTATTATTATTTATTAATAACTCAAGGTGGCAGACATAGCCACTTCTCCTTTCTCCTGCTATTATTCCCTGCAGAAATAACCCTGCAAGGTGGACTGGGCTGAGAGGGAGGGACGGGCCCAAAGTCATCCAGCTGGGTTTTTTTTTGTGCCTGACGCAGGACTAGAACTCACAGCCTCCTAGTGATTTCCCCAAAGTCACCCAGCCGGCTTTCATGCATAAGGTGGGACTAGAACTCCCCGTCTCCTGGTGATTGGCCCAAAAGTCACCCAGCTGGATTTCACGCCTAAGGCAGGACTAGAACTCACAGTCTGATTTCCAGCTTGGTGCCTTCACCACTAGACAAAATTAGCTCTAATGAAATGCTAGCAGGGAGTCAACCCAGGGAGAAAAACTGGGAGGACGGCTGGACTTCCTCCTGCAGCGCCCCACAAATGATCGCCGGGGAGCCAAAATTATCATCGGGGACTTTTCCGATTCGGATTTGGTTAACTGTGATCCCTCCCTCCCCCCCCTCCCCCCAACCGTCCTGCATCCTTTACCTTGGCTGTCAATCACGCTCTGGACCACTTCTTCTAGTCCCACCATGTAGATGAACTCGCTGTTGGCCGCGCTGGGCAGGAAGTGGAGCAAGGGGGCGGGGGGCTTGGGGGGAGGGATCTCCAAGAGAGTCTTTTCCAGCTGCTTGCGCAGGGCAAGCTTGGCGGCGGCCTGGGAATTGGCAGCCTCGTTCATGGCGCTGGGGCTGGGCAGCGGGGACGCCACCCTGTTCACCGCCACGGGCTGGATGTGGGAGGCGAGGTTCATATAGATGGCGGAGGAGCTGGTTCGCTGGCAGGGCACCGCCGAGGAGGACGGCTGGGGAGGGAAGAGAGAGAGACAAGACATAGCTTCAAAGTCTGGCCCTGTGTTGGGAGGTGCCAGTTGATTCTCCTTTGTGTTCCCATCCCTTTCTCTCTTCTCCTTTCTGCTTCCATCCCTTCCTCTCTTCTCCTGTGTGTTTCCATCCCTTTCTCTCTTCTCCTTTCTGCTTCCATCCCTTCCTCTCTTCTCCTGTATGTTTCCATACCTTTCTCTCTTCTCCTTTCTGCTTCCATCCCTTCCTCTCTTCTCCTGTGTGTTTCCATACCTTTCTCTCTTCTCCTTTCTGCTTCCATCCCTTCCTCTATTCTCCTTTGTGTTCCCATCCCTTTCTCTCTTCTCCTTTCTGCTTCCATCCCTTCCTCTATTCTCCTGTGTTCCCATCCCTTTCTCTCTTCTCCTTTCTGCTTCCATCCCTTCCTCTATTCTCTTGTGTGTTTCCATCCCTTTCTCTCCAAACGGGAAGGCTTCCCGTTACTCACCGGCTGGTAATTGATAGCAGGGCTCATGTTCGGCGTGCTGCTGCGGATCAGGCCTGGTTTGGGAGGGATGCGCTGCCCTTGAAGCTGTGTGGGGTTGGGGGCAATAACGCGCTGGGATATAAGCATGTGGGGAAGGGCGGTATTGGTGGCCGATCGGATGACACTGTGACCCTGTCCCAAGAAGCAAGAGAAAGGTTAAGTCTTTAAAAGAGCCGGACGGTGATCGCTGGGATAATTTGCCAACTTCCCGCTCCAACTTAGCGATGCCCGGAGTTGCCCATCCCAAATCTGCCCAGGCTGGACCCTGCTTAGTCATCCATCTGGCTTTCTTGCCCAAGGCGGGACTAAAATTCGCAGCCTCCTGCTTCCTAGCTTGGTGCCCTCACCACTAGACCCAACCGCCTCTTCTAGAATTCCCTGATGTCAGACGAGGACGATTCGTCTTTATATTCTCGTCACTTGTGCTTCTGATTTTTTTCTGGGCACACCCATTTCTGATCCGTTGTCAGGATCCCGGCAGTTACCCCCCAATTAAATTATCTTTGAGCCGAACTTCCAAAAGATTTATTGGGAGTTAATATGCCGGCACTGCCTGGGTGTAGCCGACTCCACAGGCACATCATTCGTTGTCACCCTTGACCCTGGTTTCCCCCCCACCCTCTGGGTGTATCGTAATTCATATTCTGACACCTGCACCGTGAGGAGATTTCAGGGTCTGTGTGGAGGTGGGAACGCAGCGTGACCTGCCACAGGTGAGGCCCTACATGGAGCTACGCCGCTCCGGCAACTCAACAAAACAAGCGGGTTCCCAGGGAATTTACTCTGCGCTGATTTGGACCGATTTCATGGGGGTGGAAGATAAGGGAGGGTATGTAAAACACACACACACATAATCGGACACCATCGGTGACCGAGCTCTGAAACTTGCAAAAGGCCTTTTTGGTTAAGGTAACCCGGGTTTCCGCCGCTCGTTTCACACCGTGGCAAAACGAGCCCCAGACTCGACAAGGCAGCCGATTCACGTCTGGGGAGAGATTCCCTTACCTGTAATGTTCTGAGGTTTTGGGGCTCAACCCCTTGAACTCCAGGTCGGGAGGGGAGTTTGGACAGAGCCTGCTGTCCGACGTGGGCAGGAGATGGCTGGACTATAGATGCTGCGTTCTGGACAACCGGAGTCTGGCCGCAGGGCGGAAAAGAAAGAGGAAAGAGAGAGAGAATCAATGAGAAAGATGGTCGATTTAAAAAGAAAGGGGGGAACGTTTCTTGGACAATCTTCAAGAAAATAGATATTTTTCCTGATCAGCTCGCCAGGGAGGGGACATGGGGGAATAATCCTACCCACCTGGCCGGGGAGGATTTCCCTGGCAAAAAGGGAGAAGATAAAAGTTGGGTGTCCATGCGGTTTTCGGCTAAACCGGGGCTCTCCAAACTTTTTAAGACTGGTGGACTTCAACTCCCAGCATTCCTCAGCCGGCCTGGGGAAAACTGGGAGTTGGAGTCCACCGGGCTTCTTCCGGAGGGGTTACCGGCGCTCGCCTGCCTCACCTTCTGTACTACGTTCTCCTTCTGCAGCTGGCTTTGCCGTAGTTTCTTCAACAGCACCAGCCGGGCTTCCTCTAACCGCAACTCGTCCCGGAGCTGTTTGATGAGCTGCTGCCTCTCCTCGACCCCTTTCCCCTGTGGGAAGGGAGACCAAGAGGTGAGGGTGGAGGGCGGCCTTGCGGCAGGACTCGCTCAGCGGGGACCCCCCGGCCTCCCCTTAGGCTCAGGGGTCCCCAAACTTGGCCAACTTTTAAGACTTGGGGACTCTTCAACTCCCAGAATTCTCCCCAGCCAGCATAGCTTACTCTCTTGGAATCCCTTCCTCTGCAATTTCTCTCCACTTTAGGAGGTTAAGAGAAAAAACGAAACAGGAGAATTCTGGGAGTTGGAAGTCCACATGTCTTCAAAGCTGCCAAGTTTGGAGACCTCCACCTGAGCTGGTTTTAAGACACTGATGTGTCCTGGGAACCCGACCCAACCCGACCCGGGGAAGCGAACTGGGCAAGCCGCAAGCCTCCGGTCGCTCTGGCGAACCCCCATTTCATTGGGTTCGGGTTCTGTCCCCTCGCTGTACCTTGAACATTTCCAGGTTGGCTGCCTTCAGCCGCTCTTCTATGCGGGAATTGGAGCGAGGGCTGGA